CCTGTGATCCACAACATAGCACACCGGGGTTGTGGTCCAGTACGCGATTTTCGTTATGTGGACCTTCCACAAAACTACTTCAAACTACATGACCCGGGAGGTGGGGAACACTTCAAGGTCCTTGCAGCTGGCCTGAAAGCAACAGATCGTGTAGTCACTATAAGCCATGGTTACGCCTGGGGGCTGAAAACTAAAGAAGGAGGCTGGGGTCTACATCAAATAATAAATGAGTGTGATTGGAAGCTGAAGGGCATCATGAATGGGATTGATGCAAAAGAATGGAACCAGCTTTATGCACTGAGCTATGGGACAACCCCTGTTGTTCATACTGTTGGTGGACTGAGAAATAGTGTGCAGCCGTTTGATCCATTCGCAGAGTTCCAAGCCACGTATCCGGAATTTGAGCTTGAGGACAAACTCGTAGTCTAGGAGGGGTGTGATGTTATGGATACACCGCCCGACAACGCACTACGGCGCAGTCATAGGCAGCAGCACGCATAGATGGCCGCCCAGCAGCACGCACCGCCCGACAGCGCGCACATCAGCACGCACCGCCAGGCAGCGCGCAGCACACACCACCCAACAGCGCGCACAGCAGCACGCACCGCACGGCAGCAACACTAGGCAGCAGCACACATCGCACGACAACAACACGCTCCTCACGGCAATAGCACTGTGAGACGCGCGCACCACCCGGCAGCAGCAGTAGGGTGGGGCCCACATGACAGCTCATCAGGGTGGGCCCACACTTATCTTACCACATCAGCTCTACCCGCCAACTCGCCGCCAGCTACACCATTCCTTATCCCTTATCTTATCTTATCTTAAGTAAGAGTTGCGTTACTATTAGGAGTAGGTAATTAGGAGTTTGAGTTTGAGTTGGATTACCCTAGCCTAGCCGAATCCAACAAGGAATTCCCTTCTGTAACCTCCTATTTAAGGAGCTACGAGTTGAAATAAAGTATTCAGTTTTCCAGTCAAGAAAAGAGTGAGGAGAGTTCGGGTGGTCTCTTGGACAAATCACCCCAAGGGAGAGTTCGGGTGGTCTCTTGGACAAATCACCATTCAGTTTCCGCAATAGGGTCTGCACGAAAGGGAAGGCGCAAGGGAAAACATGGCTTTCTCCCCGTGGACCGACCCGTGACGAGATCCTACGCGCAGGCCCATAACATGAAGTTTTGCGTTAGTAATAAATTCATAGGCCCACTATAAAGATGCAGACCCAGTATATTTAAATACTAATGTGGAACCTTATAATTGGTTTCACAACCTGCTGAACAACTAAAACATTCAGCTAAACCTTGCTCTGATCTATCTACCTCCACATTGGACCCAGTAGTATCGGAGCTGCTAGATTCTTTTGATTTTCACATCCTACAAACGTTGGGTGTGACTCTTTTCAAGATAATCTCTTCGTCACACGGAACAGCTTACCTACATCAGTCCGTAATGCCCTTCGACGATATGGGTCTTCCTTACCTACGTGAACTTATGAGGTTAAAAAAATCTAATGTCATCAAATAAGCATAAAATTATAGAGTGAAAATGGTTAATGAGTAATGACAATTGTCATTAGGCTTAGGGCCTATGACTTAACAGAAATGGATTAGGGCTTATGGCTGAAGTAAAGTTGAGTTGGCAAAACTCAAACCAGATCATCAACCCAACCCAAGTTAGGGTCAGTTTGGGTGGATGAGAGTAGGATTGACCTCAACAGCACCCAATGAGCCCGGCTTTCAACCCTAAACCCTAGTCAAGATACTAGACATGAGAACGTGATGTCACGTGCCTTCATGGGTAAACTCGGACCCTTCTTCGCTCCATAAATAATCTGTGGCATCCAAGGATGCACGTGACACAGGTGATTCTGTGTGCAATCGGTTAAAAGTTAAAACCAAGCGATGAAAATAGATGGGCAACAAAACCCCAAAAGCACAGACATTTTGATTGCATGTTTTCAAGTTTCAAATAGAGAAAGAAACAAACTATCATTGGCTGTAAAAGAAGTCAAATGCTAAGTGTGGAGAACACTGGAGACTTTTCAAAACTTTAACTTTGAACTAGAAAGAGAAAAACGGAGAAGTACGGACAGGACCAATGCAGATTTGAGCTATAAACATTCAAAAAGTCAAAAATCTCCACTTTACACACCAATGCCCGCCTGTGAATTGAATCAATTCCGAGCAATGCTGCCAGAAGAAATACATGATATTGGAGAGCTTTGATCAATCAAAGTGAGCTGTGTAGGTTGTGACTCGTGAAGGTACTTATAAAAATATTTCCTTGCTAAAAAGTGAAGTGATAGCCAAGCTTATATCTGAAATTCTATCCTTGTCCACAAATAGAGTTCGTAGACTATGTACACAAACGCACAAGCCAATTACAATTGACTTTTTTCAAATCCACAAATGAAATCTAAAACCAAATGAAATCTAAAACCAGTAGGTGCATCAAAGATGCCTACATTTGATTTCAAGCTTGTACTATTGTTTTAATGAGCGTTTTGGGAAGAACAAAACCAGCTCTTCGCTCCTCGAACGAGTACTCGACTTCTTCTTCATACTCCTCTTCAATTGTTTTAGCACCAAAAAGGACGGTGGCAGTGGTGGTGGGCCTGGTGGCAGGGGCTGGTGTGGTGGCCGTCTGCATGTGTACAGAAATGGTTGAAGGAGTACTGGGCATATGAATTGGCATCCCCTTGGGGGTCCTGTTCTCATCATCATCAGTAACAGTAGACAACTTGGAAGGTGTAGTCAATGGTGTATTGTTGCTTGGGAGTGTTTTCTGCAAAGTCCCACCATGTACCTTGTTCAGATCTTCCAGGAAGTTTGTTGTGTTATTGACCTTGGACAACATTGCAGAAGAGACAGGAGAGAAGGGCTTTCGCTTCATGGGTGATTCAATTTCACTGGCATTGAAGGAGTGTTTCTTTACTGGCAGACCAGCAACATCCAAGCCTCTTCTGCCTACATAATGAGTGAAAATGAATTATTGGTTTAAGAGAATATAAATGAAGAGAACAACTTCCTGAGTCATGAAGAAAAGAGCAACAACCTGCAGATAAAGCTGCAAAACTATCATCCTGATTGTGGCTTAGCAAGTCAGACTTCTTGTTTGGGCGTAGGCGTGGAGTAGCCTTTGTAGAATGAGATAGATCGGGTTTAGGAGTTTGCAACATTGCTCCACCCAGTGAGAGTCTTCTACTACTTGCACCTCCTGTTGACATTCTAGGACCTTTTTTTCCACTCTGGAGCTTCATTGGGCTTGGCTTTGACCCAAACAGTGCCTCCTGCTCTGCAATTAGTTGTCCTTGGAGTTTCTTCTGATCCTGTAAAAAGTTAATATTGGGTAGATTAGATTCAAGGGCTTTCACACATCCAGCATGTGATTGACCACAAGTAATTTTCATCTAAACCAGAGGCCATACCCGCTGCCTTTTGCGTTCTTGTTCTTTCTCTTGCCTTAAAATATTATATTCTTCAAGCATAGATAGAAGCCGAACCTATAGAACAGAGAATAACAAAAGAAGAATAAGATCGGTCTCAATGTAGAGACTCTTGATACATGGTAGTTCACTTTGATGAATAAATAATGGTTTACTTTGGTTCTGAAAAGACCAGGGGAAAGTCAAACAGAACTTGAGCACTAGTGTTGAAAAATAAATTTGATAGGTCATTTTTTAACAGAATATGTTTCTAGAGTGGAGTGGATGAATAGAATTCATACTGTTGTTGACTACACATTAGATGGGATAAAGGTAATGATGGTGATGATGAGAGTTGAAGATGTGAGTTCTTACACCATCATATGCAAACTCAATGCCTCTTTCTCTCTCCCATGCTGTGACTTTTGATACCAAAGCATCCACCATTGCTGCTCAGACACCAAGAAGATAAAAGTTGTATAATTGTCATACGTCAGATGGAAAGCAATAAAAAGAAGCCATGTGCGGACTGGTACCAGGAAGTTTGTTTACTATAGCACGAGCTTTCTCAGCTCGCTTCAATGTAAGATGTGCACCTCTTCCAGCATTGTAACGGTTGTCATCCTAAAATACCACATACATGAAAGTAAGCCAGTGGTAGAAAAATTAAAAACAATGTATTCTCAGAAAAAGACTAGGAAAAATGCATCACCCTGTTATATTCCTCAAGCCAGCTCTCTTCTTCACATGCAGTCAACCATTTCTCAACCTTCTCCAGTATCTCTTTCCTGCTAAATGCTTCCTCTTTGACCCTTGCAATTTGCAGTTCGATCTGTTCCAGAATGCTAGCAGGGTCTACAGCTCCTGAACCAGAAGAAATATAACATTAGCATAAAATGAACAAGTGATTAGAAGTTCCAATTAATCAGAATAATGCAATCAATTATATGCTCTTACCAGACTCGATAGCTTCAATTGCATATTCCATTGCACCATCAGCCTCTGCCACCAGGTGTGTCCGCCTGCAAATTTCCTCCAACTCTGATCTCTTCTTCAGGACAAGTTCTTTCATCTTGCTAGCTTTCAAATCTTCAAGCCTAGAAACTTCCTCCTCAACCTGCATCATAGATTTACTTACTTCTCAGTTTAGCTATATACTTAAAAAATGTAAATAAACACTAGAAAAAATGTTCTCTTAAAGTGTAAAATCATCGACTTACATAATTAATGAATTCCACAGAAAGAGTATTTTGCTCAGTTATTTCATGTTCTGAAGCAGCTATATTACAGGTCACATTCTGAAAAATCTGCTGCTCTTCTATTGGTGTATCCATCAAATTCCACAACTCCAACATGGTAGTGGCAAGATCTTGCAACTGTGACAACTTGAAGCATCAGTAAGAATAACAAATGCTCATAATGACAGGGAGTTGTAAAATTTCAGCCCAACAAGTTACCTTCTGCATCCTCTCAATCTTGACCTTCCTTAGCCTTTGTATTGCAGAGGCCAGCCTTTCTATTGTATCATTACTTATGTTCTTTGTTCCTTCAGAATCATCTAAACTGGGGTGAACCTCATTAATCGTTTGCTTGAAATCCATGCCAAGCACCAAGCAGAGTGAGTTTAGAGTATTTAGGTGATCAAGGACCTGTTTCAGGCGATCACTCTGTACAAAAATAATAGTAATAGATAAAATTAGACTAGTCAATGAAATCCAAAATTGCTTAATGTATTTTGTCTTGTGATTTTCATCCTGTTGAGAGAGCCGATCAAACCTTTTCTTTTTGAAGAGCATGCAACTGTTGGTGCAACTCTTCAAGTTTTCTCAATGACAAATCAGTTTCATCAACAACTACTTTGGATGGATTATCAGTTGATCTGCCAATCTCATTTGAGATTTTCTGTATATGTTCAAGAACTTCAAGAAATTGATTCTTTCTATCACATTTCCTTTTCTGCATCTCTTCCAGTTGTGGAATAATGGCTTTAAGCTCTTCCTTTAAGCTCACAGCACTCTGATCACACTGAATAAGAAAAACCCAATTGTTTGAGGTTGGTAGTAGATATAAAGAGTATTTTTAAACAACTGAATAACAGTCAAGAGAAGGGCAATGTTTCCAAAAATTAAGTATGGTATGAAAAAGAACACGTTATTTTTTCCATCCCGGCTTCTATTCATCTATTGTCACAAGTTGGGTATGGAAACCTACCTGCCGGATATGCACTGGTCGCTCACCCATTGCTGAGCAAATGGTTGCAAGTTCTGCCTCAGAATCGGCAATTGCTTGCCGTAGCTGTGCTCTGCACCGGTTTGCCTGATCTACCTTTCTCCGGTATACCTCTAGACACTCTTGTTCCAACTCGAGCAGCATTTTATCCCTTTCAGCATCAGACTCTCCAACTTCATTCCATATGATCTGAATTGAGAAGTGTCAGGAATAGTTAAAACATTACAAACAATGGACTATATATAGTGACTCTGCTCCAAAGTCAGCTTCAGGGATATGTTGGCAACAAGAACAAATAAACAAAGAAGGGAAAGAGATAAAGTTATTAGTTGATATTAAAGCTTCAAAATAGAAACAGAAATAAAAACAACCTGAAGTTCATATAGTAGAGATCCACAAGTTGTTTCCATTTGCAGAAGTTGATCAGTTTGGAGATTAGACATGCTGAAACAATTATTTCCTGCAAAAAAGGCTATATTATGTGGATAACCAAAGCTTTGAAAGAGAAGATAGAACCACTAATAAATTGTATACTTCAGCTAACTTCTCTGATTTCAGAACCAAGCAAAAACACTAGTTCAATCACTATAAGACAACATGCAAACTGATAGCAAATTGGAAACTATATTTGCAGCATGGGTTTCTATTAACAAAATAACAGAACTAATCAACAGGTTTTTGTTTAATTACATGTTAAAGAAATAGATGGGGGAAACAGTTATAATGTTGTATACTTTTTCTTGCAATTCAAATAGTTTCAAACTCTGGTATGCTTTGCCATTTTGATCTTCTTTGCAGGACCACTGATCACAACTTGCATGGATGGTTGACTAAATACATCTAGCTGATTCTGAAGCATCACAGTATAAAGCATGGTACTGAGAATAGAAAAAAATATTTTCCAATTTTCCAGGGTATGAGATTATTATTCATTATAGTATAAATGCAATAGATATCTCTTTTATTGTCTTTGAATAAGGAGTTTTACCTTCTGTTTCTTTCAACCATTACTTTTCTAGGTTTCCTAGTTTAAATCTGAAAGAATTCCAAGAAGATGAAGCATTAACTAGCAATTTCTTCATGTCTCAACTTAAAGGTGTGAACCTCATGACATGCCAGGTGACTTGTCGATTAGCCATCAGGACTTACAGAAAACATTGCAATAAACCTCATCTATTCATAACCTCCTTATTGGGACATCCTAACATCTTAATCAATTAAGAGGCTTTTCAAATTGTTTTTAACTAGAATACTTATAGCATAGAACAACTTGGTATCTTCAACAGCTGCAGCATCTTCTCTGCAATTTCTTCACATTTTGGACTTGAAACTCTTCTAGAAAGATGTTGCACTACTCTTGAGCCTGATGTTCTAAATCCATTATCATGACCCTTTTCATATTTTGGAGCTCAAACCTTCCATTTAAGATGTTATCCTACTTATTTAAAGCCCGTGTTAAAGTAAATAATGGATTTGCACAGTATCTACAATGAATTTCTTCTTCACATTTTGGACCTCAAAACCTTTTAGGAAGGATTTTAGAACCCCGAAATTTTATTTCTATATCAAATACTTGTGAACTTGTGAAGTGTCAATGTTGTACTGCCCATACCTCGGGTACTAGAAAATATTTTCCTCCTATTAATCAAATCTTTTCCAAACAATATAACTTCACTCACCTCAACATCTCACTGCTGTGTTTGGTTTGAAAGAAAAGGTAGGGAAAGGAAGGGAAAGGTAAGGAAACCATACAAGGTTTCCCTATATTTCCCTTCCTTTCCCTACCTTTTCTTTCAAACTAAACGGAGCTTAAATGTTCTATCCCACTTCCAGCCTGATCGCTCAATTTTCAATTGTATTGATCCTCCAAATGAATTTTTGCATCATTTAAAAAGTGTACAATACAATGATCCCAACTTCTATTTCTGTTCCCAGGTTTGTACAGTCTTTTCCTGTCATTCCTTTAGCTGCTGTTTGCCTTAGGGTGAACAGAAGCTATCTGCCTGGAACACAGGAATCCTCCTTCTCCCGTGTTTTTCTCTGTCATGCAATTCAACACTGCCTGTCATACGTTCAGTGCCGTATAATATCCAATTCTTTGTGCCTCAATTCATACATTACTGCCATCCCTTCGCTCATACCCTTTAGTCAACTGTTCCATTCGTTGCTATTTATTCCTTTTTCACCTCTTTCATTTCGCAAGGAGAGAATCAACAGCATGAAAGTTAGAGACTAGTCTATCTCCACCACCTGCAGATATTACTCTAAGATACCCAAACCTTCTGTTGTCGGCAGTTGGGTCAAATTAGATCGATCTCCTTGATTACATTGATTATTACGATATAATCTTATTGTATAAAAGTAGTAAAGAACCTAGAAATAATAATTCAGTTCCCATTTATGATTTTACCTAAAATAGACAAAGAAACAGTTATGACTCTTAATCGCCTTACCAGAACTGGAAAAGAAAAAGAAAATCAACTATTTGTTTTTTAAGTATCCAAGTTTAATAACCGAAAAAAGAGGAATCGTGAATGCCAGATTCCTAATTTTCATTTCTTGTTCAGCATAGGAAAACGCTAAATCCCAAAAAATGGACCCTCGGACATCAACTTTGGTGTCAGTAATCAACTAGATTAACATAAAGTTTTGATAAAATGGGGAAACTACCTAGTTTAGTTTGGATTTTCGGAAAATAAAGGAAGAAAAGTAAACGTGACACAAATGAAAAAGAATGCACAGAGAACATACCTGATGGAGCAATAAATTAGGGCTTCTGTCGATTTTCTAATCTGGAGGCTGTGTTACCTATCCGAAGAATAAATGGGATTTTGTTGTGGCAAGAAAATATGACTTTGCTATCTGCGAATCAACTACCCAACGACGAAGATATCGAGATTCGTGGAGAGAATTGTGAAAAGATTTAAGGGTTTGATGAAACCCTTGGAAGAACTAGAGCGCGTGATTTGAAATAGAGAAAGGGAAGAGATAGAAGGGGGGGGAGAGCTTTCAGAAAGAGAGTGTAGTGTAGAGAGAGCGCAAAAAGTAGCCGTTTGAAAAAAAATGGAACGTTGGGGAGAGTTTTTAAAGCTATGCCACCGTCACGGGCTGCAAGACTTACGTGGCCATTTAATTGGTCCCTTAAATCACAAAAAGACAAAACGTAAAATGGGTTCTTCACTTTTTTTTTTTTTTGTTTTGGGGGCTTTGGGCAAACATTGGATTTGTTTTGGGTGGTACGTGTTTGTTGTGCTCTTGTGATTTTAATTTTTAAGGGATTGATTGGTGGTTGGTACTTGGTAGAAATCCCCAATTTGAATTTTGAGACGACGATGCGCGTTACGGCTTACGTGGCGACCATCGGACGGCTTACATGGCTTACGTGATGAGTGAGTCCGCTCTGTTGCATTTCCTTTTTAGTTATGGGACACTTGTCACATATAGAATGAAGTGGAATGGAAGGCTGATCTAAGGGAGGATATGCTCCTTTGAACGGCGGATAACATAGCCACGTCTACGTGATTCTTTCATTTGATGGGAACTAACTGCTATACTTATACTTGTATACGTGAATCTTTCATTAATCCTCTCTCAATTCATGATTACGGCTTATCTATTCTAGTAATCCTCTATTAATTTCTTTAACAAGTTGATATACGATTAATATGTCTGTTCTTACTCTAGGTTAATGCAACAACTATGGATCGCTATGGCTCAAGGGAGGGAACCACGGTGACTTGAAAATCGTTAAGGTTTTCCTACATTTTTCTTTCTTTCCCTATTTTTTCATTCAAACCAAACATAACCTAAAGTATTTATGATTTGAGGGTCTATGCATGTAATCCTAGAATATGTTATAAATTTATAATGTGTCTTTCTTTGATATGACATACATAGTATTTTTTCACAAACCCACCCAATCCATCTACTTCATTTTCCGTGGAAATATTCCTTCGAGAAGTTATCAACTTGTTTTAACTAATACTGATACCACCTGATGTTGTTGCAGGAATATGTTGATCTTCTTGCTTGGGGTGGATTCGAGCCCAGTTGAGGATCGTCAAGGTAGTACAAGGCTCGAGTTCGAGCTCGGTTCGAGTCAAAAGCTCATAACCTCGAGCTCGGCCCAATTCAAGTTCGACTTGAGAAATATGTTTTATAAAAATTAAAAAAACTATATATATAAAATATTTTTTTATTTGATATTTTAAAAATTAAGAATTATAATAATTAGTTATTATTATATAAAAATAAAAATATTATATATATATATATATATATATAATATTTTCATTATATATTATTTTTTATAATTTTATATCGTTATTATTATTATTATTATTATTATTATTATTATTATTATTATTATTATTATTATTATTATTATTATTATTATTATTATTATTATTATTATTATTWRKTTWTTSGAGCCGGCTCACGAGCCTCACAAGTCGAATTTTATTAGTCTCAAGCTCGGCTCATGGCCACCCCTACTCCTTGCTAGAGGACAATTCAGAGGGACGGATTGATGAGGTTGGTCCATTGAACTGCAAGAAACGAAGAATCAAAGTACCTAGGGTGCTGATCCTGAGCTGGGCAATCTGATGCTTAAGTCAGCAACAAGAAAGTTGAGAGCAAAAAATTAGTTTGCACAGATTGCACATACCTTGTGAAGGATTGCTGATATCCTTTTATACGCATTGTGGTCCGAGTTCCATGTCTGGGATATCCGGGCATGCCAAACCTTTTCAGTCCGCTATATTCAGGGGCGCACTCATCCCACGTGGGTGGTGATCATCATCCGGTCTCTCTGAGTCGTGTGGGAGCTAGAGTCGTCTACGCCAAGTAGGTAACTTTGTCGCTGGCTAACTTGGGAACCCCAGATAAGGGTGATTTGCCATGTAGGACGGTAGCTTGGTACCCAAATGTCGACTGACTAATCTAGTCCTTGGCTACCCAGGTCAGAGTCAAGCTGGCCTTGGATGTCCTCAACTAGCTCTCCCAAGGTGGTGTATGCTGCCCTGTCGGGGGACGATCTGTTGTCATCTCTAAGTCGAGGTCTCGGTCAGGTAGGTCAGTTTAGGTAATCTCGGATCTAACCGATTTGCTCTATGCGGCGCCAAGGTATTACCAGACAGTTCAGGCTTGACATGTCTCTTCATGGTTGATCGGCCAAATCACCCTCCATCACCTAGAGTTTTTTTCTTAGTGTGTTCAAGATGTTAGACAGAAAAGGTAATGTAAGGGTTCTTCTCAACGAATGAGGCAAGGTGTTGAACATGGAGAATTTTAATGATAAGTTTTTGCTCATCCAAATGGAAATTTACACAAAATTGGATGTGACTATGAGAAGCCAGATTACGAGGGGTTGAGATTGAATAGTGAAAATTGGCTCTTGATTTTGGGCTTATAAGCTCACCACTTGGCAAACACATCCTTTACCAAATCATTAGTGGGAACTTCCTCAAAATTGAATAATTAATACAGTTTTCAACACTTATGCAACAAGGTAATTCAATTAGTTTCTTAATTTCAATTTCAATGTTCCTTCATATGTTTTCTTTAAATAATGCTTTGTTTCCTACTACTTCCAATTCCATTCCAGTAGGTGCTGTAAAAATAGAGATAAATTTTAATAAAGTTGGAGGAACCCCACAAGATCTTTATATATTCATATTATAATACGACATGAATAACGGTCATACTTAACAAAATAAATACGAGTCAGGTGGCTAGAGGGTCTGATTGAATATGTAATTGGCCACTAGCTTGAGAGTTAACATCTCAGCCCCATAGCACATCTCCGCTGTGTATTGAAAGCATTTCTCAATAATAACATCGTCGATTCTAATATATCATCAAGAAATGTTCCCAATACACGGTGGGATGTCTTGTGGGACATTATGGGGCTGAATGTTGTGGGGCGAAAATATGGTCTCCTAACTTGAGACCAATCATAACAGGTCATATCTGGGGACCCACCCAACTTATTGAGCCACCAAATATTGGATCCATTTACCATCAATGTGAGGTGAATGTTTCAAGGCCTCTATTGTATATACAATATAACACAACATACAATCTTTTTTACCTTCAGCATATACGCTTATTATGCTTATACACTTCTATAAAATATCTTTCAATAAGTTCCATGGTTCTTTTAACTTATACATGACAATGACAACCAACATATAGCATTATTACTACATAGAAGAGGGTATAATAAGCAAATACTTGGAATTAATAGAAATAAAAATAAATGAAGAAACAAGTCCAATCCATGAAGGGAGAATTCACCATCTATAATCAAAAGAAAAACCTAATTACAAGGTTTGCAAAAGAGCACATTGTTCTTGGTAATTATAAGATACACAAAATAGCACCTTAGGCTCCATTTGGAAGGAGTACAAATACAAATATGTAGAGTGTAAAATCTTATATTTTGTATGTATTTATACTGTATATATTTGTTGTACTCCTTCCAAATTGAGCCTTAAATACTAATTCTTATGCATACATAATACAAAAAAGAGTTCGGCTTCAGTCAGGGCAAAGCCTATTTGAACAGCCTTTACTGCCTTGCATTAAGAATATCTCTATACTTATATGCTTTATTTCATGGGAAGATATTCCCAATACAAGATTGCAAAAGGCTATTTGAACGGTATGGGCACAGGTTTGCCATGAGCAACTTCTGGGAAGATTTCATATAGTTCATATGTTCATGCCACCCAGCTACTGATTTCTCCGACTCTTCAACACATTTTCAAAATCATTCTTTGTTGAAGTAACTTCATTTGATTACTTGTGAGGACCACCCATTGAAAATTTACAAGCTTTATTACAAAAAACATGTAATTTATTAGTTTATTATAATACTTGTAAAAGCATTGCTAAGGAAAGTATAAAACAATCTATTTGGATCCGCATCCATCTTTATCAATTTAAAGGTAACAATAAATCCAATTCAACAACCATCTACTACCACCTTAATTATTTTTCTATTCCATTGACTCTGAGTGCTTCTTATCAATCCCCCAAAGGAATTGAAGAAGCTTCATGAATCAAACCCCAGTCGGGCAATATCAGACCTATACATGAATTGCCCCTTACTATCATAAAATTCTCAAAAATGCCAATTGTACACTCGACTCTCTAGCCATTCCTTTCATAGTTCACCGGACAAATCTAAGGTAAAGAGATATAAATAATAAAAAGAAGAAAAGCATTCATACCAACAAGGCAAAATTTATTCAAAGAATAGGATAATTGGATGGGCTAGCTTGTGGGTAGCTCTCATCTACATACATACAAGTATTCCTATTACATGTAAAGTGTTTTTTAATAAATTTATCTGAATATTAATCTTAGAAGTGAAAGAACACTTGTCTAATACTCATCTTATGTGTTACAGGGTCATGGCCAACAAGGGTGTTGGTGATATATTCTCATTAATTAGGTCCCTAAGCCAAATTTATTCCTAAAGAGTTCTACTTGGTTAGCAGTTAGCAAAGACTAAAATATTTCTTATTAAGGGAGAGAAAAAAAAAAAAGAAAATACAATGAGCAATGAATACATTTCCTTTCAATTCAATGCATTGGGTGTTTTTTCAGTTAAATAACTTTACCAGAAGAAACATCAATAAACCAGATCTTAAGTCTCATAACATTGATTTTAGAAGGCCATCAGTTTCATTACATGATTACATGAAGCTAAGAGTTATATACTTCTCCAATATATATGTAGGACTATGGAACATGTAAATTTATACTATTGTTTTAGGTGACACTATTTTGTTGTTGTCCATTTTCCCATCTCAATCAAACAACCAATTGAAATGTTGCCATGAGAAAAAACATCAACATGCACTAATGCCATATCTTAAAATTTAAGGCACTACACCAACATCATGATTGCCATGTCAGCAATTTTCCAATGCCTCGTTGGTGCTATTGCAATGCAAGACAATGAAACCACACATAGCACACTACTTATTAAAGAACCCACATGATAAAAAACCAATGTGGTCCCCTCTAACCTACAAAAGAACAAGGTTTTGTTACATTTAGAAGA